GGTCAAGTTTCATTTTTGGTGATATCTATGGAACTGACATTTCCACTGATGTGACCATGATTTGGTCAATTAGCTTTTCTAATACGGATGATCCGAGCACTTGTAATTGTTCTTGACACTACAGGTTGAAATTGCCATCAGTCGTTTTTAGGACTAGACTAAATCCCAAGCTTTAAGTTATAAAATAAAGTTGTTATTGGTGCAAGACTTAAAATAAGGGGATCAGCATAAGAAATTAATGTGAGAAGGAAAAGTCATTTTTAAAGACAATTTGCATTTTGTATTCCAATTGAAGGGCACTGTAAGTCTTCATATGTCTAGTATGTGAGTTGTAGTTAAAACGGCTTTACATTGCATGCTGCGAAGCTTGTGTTTGTATCCGCAACGCTGTACGGACGAAAGCATGCACACGCCGTTCACACGGCATAGAATACGGTTGTGGTACATAATAAAAGGATGCGTGTGTGGTAATCAAAACACTCTGTGACTTGTGGTTTGTTATAATTTGTCGTTGGTACAATCTCAAACTGTCTCTCTTGACAAATGCAATTAAGGCAGTGTCCCAATTTAAGTGGCTGAGGCCTAGGGAAATACATATCTATGGGAAGTGGCCGCAAGCCACATGCTAACGGCTTCCATTGATGCATGTGTTTTGTGCAGCCGCAGCCGTAACTTTTGATGCAGGCTAACACGGGTTGGGGATGTCCCGTATGCCCATCGTCATTAACCACATCTCATTCCCTCGTAATTCACCCCATGGATTTGGAAGGATTTTTGTGGGATTGAGGAAGGCGGAGCCCAGTCACCATTACTACATTTGGCTACGGCTTTGAGGCTCCTTGAAAACTTGGCACAGAGCATGTGCCAGTATCCTTCACGGTAGCACAGTACATGTGGGACGATTCGGAACTATCTCCAGGAAAATACCTAGGGGGTCAGGATAAGGTATGATGCTGCGTTTGTATGCTCATCGGACACATACACTGCACGAAACTAAACGAATTGTCCAAGAATATACGACACAGCTTCAAGTGCAGAACCATCACGGTGGGCCAACTGAGCCCCATTTGCATGACTTGTCTCGCGGATATATCCCTGATTAAACCCTTGAAGAATTACAGGTGTATGTAATAGACGGGTACATGTCATGGGCGTAAATCCAGGGGGCGATGGAGGTGGGTGAATAACTTGCCCGACCACAAAAATTTGAAAAAGGGGGGGGGGGCTACATTATATACACTAGGTATAGAGGGCGATGTTCATGATAAAGATATTATGTACATGTATCTGTACTGCGTATCAAATTCATGCAGAATCTTACATCAGAAAGGCATATTTATGGCTTTCAACAATTGTTTTTCCCGTTTTAGTGACTTTACAAACATTTTAGTCGTTGGGAAGTCCAAAATATTCTTCACAATCCACTTTGATTTTTGGCTCGCCACAAAAAGGGTGGCCGGGGGGGGGGGTGATTCAATAGCCCATTCCCCGACCTTCCCCCATCACCCTCGACCCCAATTTCCAGCATAGGTTTAGGCCACTGGTACATATAGTAATTTCAGTAAAACAACATTGTCTTGCTCGGCGACACAGACGTAGTACAAAGCCGAATTGGGGTCAAAAAGATTGGAACATAATTTTGCTTAACGGAATGCCTGTCTTCAAAATCAGAACGACGTGTGTTTTTAAAAATCGAATGTATTTTTAAAACGAATGTTTTTGACTTTTGGTGCATTTCTTAAAAGATGCAATACATGTTTTGTTTTTTTAGATTGGAATGAATTCTTAAAGAGCAGATGAATTTTTATAGATGGAACATATTTTCTCAATTGGAAAAAAAATTTAAAGAGTAAACATGTTTTCAAAAGTCGAATCAGATTTTACAAATCCAACATTTCTCAAGATTGGAACGAATTTTCAAACAGTCCAAACATTTTTTAAGATTGGAATAAAATTGTTGACTCCGAATATACATTTTTCCCAACGTAAAGTTGTCACTCGGCGCACGCATTTTACCCGAAATCTCATTTCATCCGAATTGAGAAAGCATCCAATCTTTTTGATGGTGTTCAGCCCAAAGTTCCGAACCTTTTTGGACGATTGGGCTGTTTTCGGCATGAGGAGGCGCATGCAAACTCCTACAGCGGTTCCCGCTACCCTTTAAGGTCGTTGCCTTTGAGGCCTGCAGACTCGTCTCCATGTTAACATGGAGAAGAGTCCGCAGGCCAGGTATGTTTACTCCCGTGCTTTTGTGCACCATTCAGTTGAAAGTTAGCGCGTGCGCACTCGATCACTTTACAATTTCCAGGTAGACGACGGTCAACGTCGGACACCCGTTCCAATACTTTTTTCGCGGATGGAGACCATGATTTATTTTAACAAAATACAGCAAATAAAGTTCACGGAGATAACCTGATAACTGATTAGACAACATTCGACCACCGTATTATATGAACCCACATGCACAAAATCCGAAACAAATTTTTAAAATGTGATTTGGAGGAAAAATTAAATTTGAGAGAGATACGTCCACGGTCATTCCCATTTCGAAAACCATTTCTACAGTTTATCAAAACAAACGAAATAAAGTGCCATATGTATTTAAAACCTGATCAAACATCGGTAGTACTTTTAAGTTGTTGCTAATTGAATATTTTGCAGGAGAATCGTTTATCCGTAGTAGCGCGTGTACACTGTACATGCACGTGCACATATGCCACATATATCATGGCCGAACATCATTTGACAGAGTGCCAAAACTGAAATTGATCAAACTAACGAAGGAAAAATCGCAATAGCTTAAACGTAACTTGATGTTCCTTTTCAGACACCCATTCAGTTTCCAAAATATGCAGCATCTGTGGAAAAAAATGGAGAATAATTCAAAATTTTGATTTTGAAATAACCTTTCTTACGTTCGAAAATGTAACGTACGCAGACATCTTCCACCTCATTTTTGGGAACCACTGCAGGAGTTCACCTGCGCATGCCGAAAATAGCCGAATCGTCCAAAAAAGTTCGGAACTTCAGACTGACCACCGTCAAAAAGATGGGATGCTTGTTTTTAACGCAGATGCTTTCTCAATTTGGATGCTTTCTCAACTCGGATATTTTCTCAATTTGGATGCTTTCTCAATTTGGAGGAAATGAGATTGGGGTAAAAATGTGTGCGTCGAATGACAGCTTTACGTGTTCCAATTTTTAAAACATATTCGGAGTCAACAATTTTATTCCAATCTTAAAAAATGCTTGGACTTTAAAAACATTTCGATCTTGAGAAAATGTTGGATTTGTAAATTCTTATTCGCATTTTGAAAACATATTCACTCTTTAAGAATTTATTCCAAACTAGAAAATATGTTGCATCTATACAATTCTTCGTCTCTTTAAACGAATCTAAAAAAACATGTATTGCGTCTTTAAAATTTCGTTCAGTTTTTACAAAATGCATTCAAACTTCAAAAATACGATCTTTTAAAAATGACATTTGTTTTAAAAATAAATTCGATTTTTAGTAAACACATTCGATTTTGAAAAAAAAAGACATTCCGTTTAGCAAACACCTGTTTCAATTTTTTTGACCGGAATTCTGCTTCGTAGGTAGCCCATTTTGTTGTGATGAAGCTGACTGTGTCACGCCATTGATGTTACGAAACCCCTTCAGTTCGATGATGCGCGCCATCTTATCACTATGGATGTCAGTGCTTGTGTTGTTGCCAAGTTGCTTTTGGACAGCTGTGTGGGCTCGAGTCGCAGCAACTTGTTAATTTTGCCCACTACAACCATGCACATAACAGCATTCCCAGAGTCTATTCCTGCACCAACGGCGTGCCTTGGATTCAGCGCTGCAATATGATACTTTGTCGCTGCCAAAAAAATGAAGGGCCATTGTCACAATTATCAGAGCTTCCACTCAAAGGATCGCATACAGTTCTGATTAGACCTGGGTTGTGACAGCGACAGATTGCT